CAGCAGGAAAGACACATCTACAATCATCTCACTGGTAAGTTTCCTGAGTGTTAACCCTGGTCATCCAAATTAAAGACCTGGCAATGGAATGTTAGTAATTGGGCACAATAGCCTGATTTACATTAAGTTGGGATTAAGCTATTTCTGAGCAAAAAGTTATGGGTGGTTTGAATTTAGTGCAGAGATTAACCTGAGCTCAAAACCATAACCTCAGATCTTAAAAAAAAGGGGCAGCTGCATAAACATTGCTCATATGCCTAGTCTTTGAAACATATTGCAGTCTTCAAAATTAGCCTATAACCTCGGCAGCTGGGAAGCTATAAAGAGAAAGCCTTTGTGTATGCAGGGAGTAATACATCAGGCGTATGCAGGTCATATCGGAAGGATTTTAAATGGAGACTCTCACTGAATGCTTTGTTTTAGATTCGCGTGTAGAGAAAAGAATGTATGTATGTGGACAAACCGTTAATAGCCTCTTATCTCCTTCCCAAAAGCAAGTATCTCACACTCCAGAGGATCCCTTCGAATGTAATGATTTGGGAGAAGATTTCACTCATAGCTCCACACTGAGTCAACGTTTGTTAACTCACACGGAAAAGACACCCTATATCAACAAACAGTGTAAAAAATCCCTTAGTGACCAATCATATCTTAATCAACATAAGCAGATCCACACTAGAGGTAAATCGTGTGAGTGCCATCTGTGCGGAAAAGCCTTCAGTAATTGCTCTAGCCTTAGAAGACACGAGATGACTCACACTGGAGAGAAACCGTATGAATGCCATATCTGTGGGAATGCCTTTATTCAAAGCTCTGACCTTAGAAAACACAATCTAACTCACACCGGAGAGAAACCATATGAATGTCATCTCTGTGGGAAAGCCTTTAGTCAGTCCTCTAACCTCAGACAGCATGAGAGGACGCACACTGGAGAGCAGCCGTATGAATGTCAACTCTGTGGGAAAGCATTCAGTAAATGTTCTGCTCTTAGACGACACGAGAGAACTCACACTGGAGAGAAACCGTATGAGTGTCATCTTTGTGGAAAATCCTTCAGCCAGTGTTCTGCCCTTAGACGACATGAGGGAACCCACAATGGAGAGAAAATTATGAATGCCTTCAGTAAGTATTCTGACCTCAGATGACATGGTATTATAAATGTTGCAAACATGGACAAGACTTCAACTGTAGCTTTAACATTTAAACACACCAGAGGACTCACATCGAAGAAAACACTGTAATCAATGGAGAAGATCCTTCGGTTATCCTTATTCAACTTGACATATGCAAATTTATATGGAAGAGAGTCCATATGTGTGATATTTATGTGGCAAAACCTTCAGTCAGTGGTCTGACCATAGATGACATGAGAGAACTCATACTGTCAATAATAACAACAGCTCTAAACTTTAAACACCCTAGGGGACTTGCATCAGGGAGGATCCAGGTCTGCCATCAATGTGAAAGTGCTTTCATTTATAATTCACGGTTAAACAACATGAACAAACTCCATTTGGGAGAGTCCCTAGGTCTAATCACTGTAACAAACATTCAGCCAAGCACAGTCTTGATGTGCACGAGAAAACTCAGTGAAGGAATGAATAACCACTACAACAGGAAGTAAGAGGATGAAGGCTCTTAAGGAATACCAAGGAATTCATCCAGGAGAAGTGATTCAGTGTAAAATCATGAGAAATCCTTTATTCATAGAGCCACACTTGTGGTACCTGTGTGCATTCAGACTGTACAAAACATGCTCAGTGTCACGAAAGGATGACACTTCAGTGTTCTCTCATTTCATAATCAACGTTAAGGTTCTCACACTGAGGAGACAGCAGTCCTAAAATCAATGTGGCGAAAACTTCATCTAGACTTCACATTCAGAAAAGCTAAGTTGAGGGGGTGAAAAACCCTTTAAAAGAGACTTTAACATACAATTCAGAAAATAATTCAGAACTTTGAGAGAACTATTTATGGGGAAAAACCTAACATATAAATGCAAACAGTAAAGTGATCTGGGAATACTGAATGCAGAATTTTGTAAGAAATTAAACTTTTTCCAATAGATTATTTGTAAATATTTAAACAATAAAGTTGGTTGCTGAAAAGTCTAGTCTGTTGGTGAAGTTGTAGTTTTCTCCATGCAGCTGCAAACACACAGATCTGGGTCTGCACTCCATGGCGTGTCGGGGAGACTCAGCCCGATTCTCTGTCTTCCCTTTCTCCACAGCCCCTTCCACACAGCTCACCTCCACTCATTCCAGCTTCCCACCAACATCAGCTGTCTCATCTATGCACTGATGGTGACACAACAGGGGCCTTCACCCCACTGGCTGGTTTCTCAATGTGCCATGACCCTGGCCTACCAGGTCGACAGTATCATGGACGTCTAGTGTAAACCACGGGGTGGTCCCCAGCCTGTCTCTGCCCCTGGGCAGCTCCGCGGGGCCAGAGAGACGGACAGCTCTGCTGTTCCAGGCCAAGAACACCCCTTGGATTTTTCCGTGAAGCCCCTGAGTTGAGCTAGCTGGGGGCAGGAGCTCATCATACGACGCCATCCCACATCTTATTCAGGTGAGTCCTGAGTTACGCACCTACTTGCTTCCCAAACGGAGCCACTATTGTGCCCTCCCCGCCAACACACACAGAGCAGCCCTGAAAAGAAGACCCCAGCAATATAATATCCCCTAACCTATCAGACACCACACAAGCCTGTGGTGGTCTTATTAATGTTCTTATTATCTAAGTAATATCTAAGTAATAATTATCTTATTATCTAAGTCTTATTAATGTTCTTTTCCCCAAGCAAAATGAAAGTTCTCTCAAAGCAGGTCTCTCCTGCTTTGCGCCTAGGGCTTGGAAATGTGTTGCCCTTCAACAAACTTCCATACTGAACCTACACCTCAAGGGAAGTGTTCTCAAAAGATAACTCAGCTGATTTGTGCTCTTCCCAAACTAGCACAATCCCCAAATCATAGCTTGACAGGCTGATTAAATAAGCACATCTCGGGGTGAAACCAATACATCATTAAAAAACAAAAAGTGATTCTACTGTTCAGCTAGGGTGGAAACAGTCGTGTGCGAGGATGATGAGCACCCAAAATTGAACATCTTGGTGCTGTGGCTGGAGGGGTATTGGCTGTGAGCAGGCAGGGACACGTGGAAGTATGAACAAGGGTCAAGTGGAACAAACTAGTGAGAAGTTCAGATCTGGAAGACAGACCCCATAGGTTATTTCCACTGTCACAGCCCATGAGACCTTGCTACTGAACCTTTCTGTGGTTCAGTTTCCTACATTCTAAGGTAGAAGTAAGCTTCGTGCCTCTATCTTAGAGTTGTAATGAGTACTACTGAGTTGATACTGTATACACCAAGTTGTTACTGCAGGTAGTAGGCACTTTGTGTTTGCAAATGGAGAATATTTTTAATAAATTGAGATCTGGAAACACCACTCTTCCTTACCTCATTTTTATATTTAAATATTTCATATCACTTAAAAATATAATAGATTTGTATTACTATTACATTTAATCTGCTTAGGACATACATAATTTACCCGAAAGCTATAGTTGACTTTAGCTGTGATCCTGGGCCACAACTGAATTTGAGACTTATTTGGTGGCTTAGTCAGAAATCACCTCCTCTGCCTGTGTCTCCAGGAGGGAAGGGCCTGGTGCTGCTGGGGGCAGGGCCTGTGTAGGTGCTGGGACCCCCAGAAATGATGTGCACACTCCCTTCTCAGAGGAGCTCACATCCCACTGGAATCTATCTACACTGAGCTATGCATGTGAGTGTGCTGGGCATTTTCAGTGAGATCAAGGGATTTCAGGACTGATCACATAAAGTCATGACCACAGAGGGGTGGCATCACAAAATGAGATATATTGGGTGGCACAAAGGTGCAGCTTCCCTATCAAGGATAACCCCTTCCAGAGGCTAGAGTGTGGGACCACCACCAGGAAGGAGGAAATAACAAGGGAACACCTGGGGGAGAAGGTGTTTGGAAAGGGGTGGTGGTTTCATTGTCCAGATGAAGTCTCTCAGCCCAAAGATGGGGAGTCTCTTGGTCAGAGAACTATAGAAGGCCAGAAGCAGCTTAGAGGCTTGTATAGCCCATGGTTTACCTTATCTATGGTCAGCAAATGTTGGGTGCATTTTCACAGGGTATGCACAGCAGGCAGGCTCTAAATGGTTAAAAATCTAATTTGAGCTATGTTATGTTTAAAACAATTCAGTATATAAAAATTTAAATTTGGCACTGGTGGGCTTTTGAGCTAATGGGCCTAGTCTCTTGTGAAGACGTAAACAACAGGCCCAATATACAAGAACCATCTTTGACTCATTTATAAAACACTACTTGATAATTTCAACGGATTTTTTTCTTCATATTCACTGGTTATTTATTTTGCCTGCTCAAATCTGATGTTGCAACCCTCTATTAGTATTTTATATAATATAAAACATAGAGGTGAAAACCCATAGCAATTTTCAACTCCAGAATTGCTATTTGACTCCATTTTATAATTTCTGTCCCTTTACCGAAACTCTTGATTTGGTGAAGCGTCATTTGCCTGCTTTCCTTTCATTCTTTGAGCATCATTGAGACAGTTGTGTAAAGCCTTTGCCTCGTCAAGTCCAATGTCTGTACTCCCTCAGGTACAGTATCTGTTAATTTTCTTTTTCTTCTCCCTGAGGATGGGTTGTACTTTCTTGTTTCTTTGCATGACTCTATTTTTTGTCGAATACTAGATATTTTGAATATTATAATATGCCTAGAAATCAGATTCTCCTGCCTTCCTGGGATTTGTTGTTGACATTTTATGTGGTCTGGGCTTAGTTGTTTATTTACTGATTTTCTGAACTCTTCCTGTAAAAGGTTTTGTCATGAATGCCACTGAGGTCTCTGTTCTGTTAGCTTAATGGTCACCTTGTGATTTGAGAGGTATCTCCTTAAACACTGGAGCCAGAAAAACCAAAACAAAAACCAAACAAATAAAAAACCCACACACACAGAATACTCTGCCAGTCTTAGCAAATCTTCTCTGTGTCGGTGCTTTTCTGAAAGCTTCGCAAGTCACTTTACAACTGTCTCACCCTTCAGTTGCTGCTTGCGCCACTTACTCTCTTACCATAGTGCACCACTGTGCCATATTTGACACGAATTGTGAGTATTGATACATTATTAACTAACGCCCACATGTTATTCAGATTTCCCTAGGTTCACCCTTACTGTTTCAGAACCCCATCCAGTACACACACCACATCACGTTTATTCAGAATGGTTCCTTAAGCTTCTCTCGGCTGTGACATTTGCTCAGACTTTTTTTATTTGTGATGACTTTTGACAGTCTTCAGAAGAACCAGCCAGGTTGATCTGACATGAAAATGTTTGAAACACAGGCCTACTCGATTTACTGGGCTTCACTTTATTCGCTTCACGGATGCTGAGTTTTTCACAAATTGAAGGTTTGTGGCAACCCTGTGCATTGATCAAGTCTATTGGTGCCATTTTTTCAAGTGTCTTCTCAATGCCTCTGGGTCACATTTTGGCAATTCTTGCAATATTTCAAACTTTTTCATTATTATTATATTGGTATGGTGCTCTGTGATCAGTGACCTTGATGTTACTGCAAGACTCACTGATGTCTCAGATGATGTCTGGCATTCTTTAGCAATAAAGCATTTTTAACTAAGGTCTGTATATTTTTTAGACAGACATAATGCTATTGCACACTTAAGAGGCTGCAGCATAGTGTAAACGTCCCTTTTATATGCACTGGGAAACCAAAACTTTCATGTGACTTGCTTTATTGCAATGTTCACTTTTTGCTCTTGTCTGGAGCTGATCCCACAGTGTCTCCAAGGCAAGCCTGTGTCATCATCTCAAAACATTTTTGAGAGGCAGCAGTTCATGTAACAGCAGTAAAATAAATGTCTATCACAATGAACTTGTATGCACCTTATTTCTAGGTTTCAGTTCATGTTATTGGGGAGGCCTCTCACTGCTGTTTTCCATACAGGACATGAAAACCACTCTCCCTGTCACCTACCTCTGTATCCTCAGATGGTGCATGGGAACCAGGTTTTTTTTACCCCTGGTGTATTCCATCACCTCACACTACAGTTATACACGGACAATACCTCCCAGATAAGAAAGCAGGTCCTCAAATCCTTTGAGAAGTTCCTCCATAAGACATGCGTTAAGACCTGGAGATTCCTAAGTTTAAATATATAAGATATTGAATGACATGCAGAACTGTCGCTAAAACTGGTTCTAGTGTTGCCAAATCATTCGCGTACGTGGGTCTCCACTCATCCACTGCTCTGTGACCCTCCTCTCCATAGTGCCCAGAGCCCAGCCACGGTCCTGTGAGTAAATCAGCCATAACTGCAGCAAGGAGAACAATCAGCTGGTTTCTAGTCTTCTCCATATGGGAAGGCAACCTCTGGGTGATAACTGCGCTGTATTTAGAAGATTAATATCCCCACACATTTAATATTCAAAGGTATCCCTGGGCTTCCCTCGTGGCACAGTGGTTGAGAGTCCGCCTGCCGATGCAGGGGACATGGGTTCGTGCCCCGGTCCGGGAAGATCCCACATGCCACAGAGCGGCTGGGCCCGTGAGCCATGGCCGCTAAGCCTGCGCGTCCGAGCCTGTGCTCCACAACGGGAGAGAACACAGCAGTGAGAGGCCCGCGTACCGCAAAAAAAAAGAAAAAAAAAAAAAGGTACCCCTCACTCAGTTTATTATTTCCTGAAGACAAACTGTACAGCTGCCCTTTGGGGAAAACTAGCCCCACGAAAGGTTATCCAACCGGTGATTCACGATCACATGCATGTGGAAGCGTTCTGAAAAGCATCTTTGAATTGAATGAGAAGAGCTATAGCTAAATTCAAGTTCCACTGCATTTAATAAAGAGACTATTCTGAGGGGTTTTCACATTTTAAAAGTTGTTTTAATTAAAATGTTAGAAATCAAATATGACTGAGGTGAAAACAAAGTTACATTTCTTCCTGCAGCGCCCAGGCAGTGAGAGCCCTCAGATTTTAGAACAGCAGGATTCTATGATAGGTGAACTGCAGTCATATCTGGAATTCCAAAGAAAAACCAATGAGATTTTGAGTAGAAGGGTGAATTAAAATAGTAATCATTGCAGTATTGATGATACGGTAATTAATGAAAATATTAAGTCATAGCGGAATATTTCAATGGTAAACATATAAATTTCAATTTCATTAACATTATATAACCTGTGCTTATACTATTAATACTGAAGTATGCAGTAATTAAAAGTAATGATACTTTAATATCAAATTATGAATACTGTTAATATATTCTAGTTTACATTACTAATATTATGTTAGAATTTGAAAGATATGTGATGTTAATAA